GATAAACACGTAAATAGTTGGTTCCATGTTTTCAATATATTTACGGTTCTCATTTGAATATACTTCATGCTTGAACTCAATAAAACTAACGAATAATCAACTAATAAACTTGTTAAAATACAAGATAAGCGTTGGATCATATTAATACGATATAATATTGTTAAGTTTTGAATTGTTCTTGTTAATGAAAAATTACATTTAAAAATCAATCATCAATTTACGACAAAAGTTTACTCATCTAGCTGATAGTTGATAATATATGGTTTGCTTTACTGCTTATTTTTCTTTAACCATCCTTTGGTTAATTGGGAGTTCTGCCATAAGGAACCCGAAATTTAGTGAACTACAGGTTGAAATTAAGAGGCTTTGAGGTTGATCTTAAGGGACGTGGACAAGTTTTTTTTTTCAATGACAGAGTGAATCAAAAGGAGGTCTACGTTTGGTTTTCTTGATATAGAGATTGTTGTTTGGTTCATTGATATATGGGACACGTTCACAAGTTGGTTTTTATTGTGTTTAAATGATAGTACTTTATATGATGGTTGCTGTTATGATATACCTCTTTGCAATGACCTACGGCCAAATTGCATCCTTTTTGTGGTTGCATTGTTAGCAGTATGAAAGCTTAATTCTTCAGTTATATGAGTTTATGGCAGATGATTTTTCTGTCAACAAGGGTTAGCAAGTTTCAACTGGATATGGGTTGATATAAGGATGAAACTTGGATATTTGAGGATGGTTCTGAAACAAGGTTGGTATAAGGATGGAATATGGTTATGCAAAAATAACAGATGGATGTTTTCGGAGAAATAAGGAGTGTAATTTCTAGATTTTTTTTATCAATGGTAAGGAAAATATCAATAGGGGAAGGAGTAATCTGATGCAAGAATGGAATTTGATTTGGAGTTGATTTAAGAACCAATCATGGACGATCAAAAGCTACTTGATTTTTTTGATTAACCTGGATATCCAACCCATTATGCGAGCCGACTAATCCCAGGACGATCACCTGCTTTGCAGATAGCCTGGAGTCACCACATTTGAACCTCCGTGGCCACAAGAAGATTCTTATTCCTCCTTGGATTTGAACCTGGGATCTCCAGGTACTTTTGACCTTTGGAGCCAAGCTCAAACTAATCAGACACCATCCTTGTGGTTCAAAAGCTACTTGATTATTGTTAATGGAGGAAAAATTATGGAGAATTATAGGTATTTGATCGACTTAGTGATGCAGATCAGTCCTAGTGGTTTGATTATGCGAGTTTGGCCACGGGATGAACCACTTAACTCTCTGGTTCTTTCCCGGGGCTTCTTCCAATGTTGTAACTCACTTTTCTTCAATAAAAATTGTCGTCGGGTGGAACCGCCTAGTTTGATTAGGTTTCAAACCCCTTAAAAATCCGTGTATATTTTTTAAATTACGGACATTTTTTTGACTCTACGCAGAGCATCCAAAATCATTGGACCGACCTTGTTTAAGGTATGTGCTCGAGTCTTTTGTCCCAATTGTTTTTAGAAACATGATAAACTTAAAATTAGAAGTTAAAAACTAAGAAAATGATACACATGAGATTTGAACCCGCTCCTAGAAATGGGGAAAGAATGTGCAAACCAACTTTACCAAGAAACAGTTGTGTTATTATTATAGCCACCAGGAATAAACGATTGTACACAACAAAATAATATGGTTACGCTTTTCATGAACCTAAATATTTTTACACCACGACGAAGGAATGGAACTAAGTGATAGCTCATGTCACCGTATGCAGCATAGTGAGCTCGTCCCTGATCATCAGTTAACTTATCAGCTAGGGGGTATTTGGTTTATGCAGATGAATGAAAATAGAAATGAGAAAGTAAATGACAGGAAACAAAAATGAGAATGAATATTTATTCCCTCTGGTTTTACCTAGAATGAAATTTTGAACTTCTGAAGAATGGATTCATTATATTATATACAATCAAAACTTTTCTTTTATTTTCGGTTACATTAATTACTGTTTAATACCTTTTTTTAAAATACCCCTTGTTTTTCAAATATAGCTTATGTTTTTCAAATAAAATATTATTGAATTTCAAAATAAAATTTCTAGGGTTGAGCTAAATGCACCCTCATCTATTGTTAAGTGTACCCCTACCAATGGATTTCTTCCTCATACATATTAATATTAAAGTTACGTTTTAAATTTCCAATAGATAAATTGACCTGATTTTTGTTGCAACAGGAACCTCTTCATTCATATCTACCTCTTACAAAGTTTTCGACTGTTCCGAAGACTGGATCAGGTACTGGTTCAAATCTTGAACCAAATAACTGTCATGATTAACAAGATTTTTTGGTTCAAAATATGAATTTTCACTAACACCATCGGCGAAAAAAGTGTTTGGATTTTCACGACTACCACCACCGAGGTAAAAAGTGTTTGGACCATATGGGTTTGCACCATTACCGTCGGGTAAACTTTGATGGGTTACGATACTTGATGCATTTCCACCATAACCACCATCATTGACAACAAAGAATGTCAACATTTCCGGTAAACTTTGATGAACAACGTTCTGGAACATTAGCACATCATCGTCGTCGCTTAAATGATATAATATTTGTAAGGAATTCATTTTATAAAATAACATGAAACAACTACGTAAACTTAACTTTTTCGTAACACGTTTAACCAAACCAGAATGTGTTATTGGCGAAGGCAAACGTAATACACGTATGAGAGATCTTAACGGAAGGTACTCTAAGGCACCATTTATCTCCTGGAATGAACCGCAACTTTGAAGATACACCAAAACATCATCACTTTGACGTGATTTCCTATTTGTGTTTAAAGGTGAAAAGTTGTGATGGTAAATTGTGTTTAATGGTTTAAGGGTTGTGATAGTAAATTGTGTTTAAGGTTTAAGGGTTCTGATGGTAAATTGTGTTTAAGGGTTAATGGTTCTGATGGTAAATTGTGTTTAAGGGTTAAATGTTGTGAAAGTAGAATATATAAGAATAAAAGTGAGAAGTAAGGTGTGAATAAAAATAATGAGAGGTCCATGCTATATATAATAAAATTTGTTGCACTAAAAGACGAAATATGAGTCAACAAAGTAGGCTGGATCGCCTTAGGGAGAAGATCCGGGGTTAGGTGGGGGCGATCCCACTTCTCAAGCCAAACCAGTGTCTGTCTCTTAAATTAGATACATGTGGGCCCCACAAATTAATTTAAAATTATTATTTTTGTACTTTTTTGGTCAAACACGATGTGGATCGCCCCCCCTGGTTAAACATGCCGTCGGGATGATCCTATGGGTCATTTTAGTAAAACTTGAAAAATTGACTATTTTGTTAACTATTTTGATTTTTACATGATGCAAATAACATTCCAAATTTTGATGAGTTATAAGAAAAGGAAAAACAAGTGGTGCATGAGGTTTGGGATTTGCAAAGTGACAAAAGGTGCCAAAACACTCAGCTGAAAAGCTCTACCATTTTGGAATCAATGTTAAATTCCCAAGATACCCCTTTTCTCCTTTTTCCTACTTTTCACCTTTTCATTTTAAACCTTTTACTTTTTGCTATTTTATATTAAACATCACTTCAAATTCGTACTAATCATCTCTATTTTGGGCTTTTCTTATATTTTTATTTATTAAAAAATCAATATACTTCTTAAATTTAATTATTTATTAATTTGGATATCTAATTCGTTATATGAATCCACTAATTTTAAGATGACCATTTATTTTGTGGATAACTTAGAGTCATCACATTTGAACATTCATGGTCACAAGAGAACTTTTATTCTTCATTGGATTTGAACCTGAAACTTCCAGACACTTTTGATCATTTAAGTCAAACTCAAACCAATCATGCACGACTCTTGTGGTTTTAAATTTAACCTTACAATCCAACTTCGGATAAGTTTAATCTTACAATTTAATATCGGATGAATTTAATCTGATAATCGTATTATTTTTATAAGACCTATAAAAAATATATCTTAATTCGAATGTTTGATTAGATCGTAACATTATTTTTATAAAAGTTTAGGTTATTATTTTTATATATTTATTTGTACACTTTTTATATTAAAGAAGAAGTAATACCAAACTCTAAAAATTGATTGAATAAAATTAAGTTTTGATGAATAAAAAACTAACAAAATAAAAAATAAAATCCGAGAATTGAAATACAAGAATTTTTTAATTTTTTTTGATTAACCTGAATATCCGATCCGTTATGCGAGCAGACTAATCTCAAGGTGACTATTCGTTTTATGAATAGCTCGGAGTCACCGTATTTGAACCTCCATGACAACAAGAAGATTTTTATTTCTCCTTAGATTCAAACTTGAGACTTACATACACTTTTGATCTTTGTAGCCCAAGCTCAAACCATTTTTTCGTATCGGATATACTTTCTAATTTTTTATCATTATATATGTATGGTATCTTTTTCATTTTAAATTATTTAATTTTGTTTGTTTTAAAATAATAATACATTTACAAAAATAAATATTTATTTTTTAATATTATTGTTAATTAAGAGACAATATTTGAATCGTTAAGAGGCGAATCTTATTTAGCAAAAAAAGTCTGTCTCTTAATGGTTTTAAAATCATTTGAATGATTTTGTATCCTAGATCTCCCTTAACTATTAAGAGCCCTAATTTCATTGTATATAATTACCAAATAATTATATTTTATCTTGCATTATATCATGAGAACCTTTTATTAATTCTGGCCATTTAATCATTATACATCAAACTATTCTGACAAATAATATACATCTAAAAGAAATAATTATTTGTTACACATAACCCAAAGGCTGTAAAGAGGAAAGAGTAAGATCCCCACACACAAACATCCAAATGCTTTCAGAACCCTTTCTCTGTGTTTCCACTCCCTTTTGTTTCTCAAACATATCATCACACCTTTCTCATCAATATCTCCTCAATCTTTCTCCTTCTTCTTCCTCATAAACTCCATAATCATACACATAAATGCCATCATGCAAACCCTCAAAACAACCATTCTTTCTACTCTAATCATCACCTCTTTTCACTTCCATCAATGCCCTTCGTCCCTACTCTCTCAACCCCTCAAACCGCCGGATTTCTCCACTCCCAACATGGTCCCCTCCTTTCCTGTTCAGTCCGGCCCACAGAAGACCTGCCGCCTCGATTTATCCTCTGAGCTCTTCGGTGGTGTCAACGCAGCTTGTGGCCGTAACCTCGATCGGAGTCGTTGCTGTCCAGTTCTCGCAGCTTGGCTCTTCGCTGCGCACGCTCGTTCCGCGCTCCAGCTAAATGCTTCCTCCACACCCACCACCGGATTGTTGCCGGTGATGCCTGATGATTCTCAGAGATGCGTCACTTCGTTACAAACCTCATTGCAGAAACGGAACATACATATTCCTCAGCCCAACGCATCGTGCGACGCCGTGTTGTGCTTCTGCGGCATCCGTCTCCACCAGATCGGTTCTCTTAGCTGTCCCGCCGCGTTCAATCTCACGGCGTCGTCAAGGAATGCGACACCAACAGCCGTCGTCAAAAACCTAGAAAAGAGTTGCCGGAATTCGTCTTACGCCGGCTGCACAAAATGCCTCGGAGCTTTGCAAAAGGTTCGGCGGTGTCGATCTATGTGATTTTTATTCCCATTTTTTTTAAAGTATAAAGGAAATCCCTGTAGAAAACGACATTGATGGATGATTGATTTGCAGTTAAAGGCGGAGGGAAGCAAAAATGGAACAAGAAAAGGTGACCGGAGGAGCGAGATGATGAGTCGGGACTGCCAGCTGATGGGCCTGACATGGCTGCTGGCAAGGAACAAGACAGCGTACATACCGACGGTTTCCGCTGTATTGCGCGCCATCATGTACAGTGCGCACCCAGCTCACGAGTCAAAGTGCAGCCCCGACCAGGAGAACATGCCGCTGGCCGTCAATTCCTTACAGTTTGACAAATCGGAGTCGTCGTCGTCGTCGTCACCGTCGTCTTCCTCCGCCGCCTGGTCATCATCTTGGTCACGTGCGTTTGGGATTGTAACGACGATATCAGGGGGGCTGCTGGTTTTTGTGTAATTTCTTGTTTTACTGTGGAAGTGGAATGCATGCTATACGGCTTTTGTGGATGAAGGAGTAGGTGACGTCATGGTAGCATTGTTGTTGGTGGAAGGGTATTTTTGTAATTATCTTATCTTTGGATTCTAGAATATTGCATTTTTTTTACATAATACCCTTTTAGAGTAAATGTCAACTTCACCTTTTTACTTTTTACTTCAAATTCACTTTCAAATCAAACCCCTAGTGTTGTTATAGCCCCATTTCAAACCCTTAAAATAGAGTTATATACAAATTTGGTCCCCGCGGTTTATATAAATTAACAAGTAAGGTCCCTGAAATTTTCTTTTTAACAAAGAGCATTCCTAAGGTATCATTTTTATAACAGATATGGTCCCTCCTGATAATGCCGTGAATTAGAGTGGTGTTAGTGAGGGGTAGTTTAGTCCATTAACTTTTTCTTTCCATCTAGTTTTATTTTCATAACACATTTGGTCCCTGCATCTACTTTCATTTTAATACCATATTTTGTCACTCAATACTTTTAATTTTGTAACATATATGGTCACTCAATTTAATTAATATACCTTAAAATTGATTGTAGTTAAATGATAAATTAATAAATATATGTCAAACATATAAAACTGTTATAATCTATAATTAACAGGTTGAAAATTATCAGTATTATTATAGTGAACAGTAAAAAAATTTGAGTGCTAAAACTCAACATTTGTGCTATATTTGGTATTTTTGGTTGAAATTGCTAAAGATAACATTTATGTTAAATTTTAGCACTCAAATTCTCTACTATTCACTATAATTACGTTAATTATCTAAATTATAACATTTTTATATAATTTTTTATTAAGTATCCCTTAACTATAATCAATTTTAGTGTGCATTAGTTAGTTGATTTATATTTTAATGTCAAAGACCTTCTAGCCTAGTGGTAAAGGCTTGGACATGACATAGTCATGAACCCAAGTTCGAGCCCTGGAATGGGAGTGTTGGTGACATTTAAGTGGAGCCATGTTTAGCCTCCAAAAATTGTCGGGGATTAGTCGGGCTTTGGCCCGGACACCTTTACAAAAAAAAAGAATAATTTTTTTGTGTATATTAAGTAAAATAAGGGACCAAATATGTTATAAAATTGAAATTAGAGGGAGGGACTAAAATTGTTATTAAAATGAAAGTTGATAGAAGGAACAAATGTGTAATAAAAATGAAAGTAGGCGGAGAGAAAAGCTCAATGGACTAAATTACCCCTCACTAATGTCACTTTAATTGACGGTGTTATTAGGAGGAACCACCATATCTGTAATCGAAATGAAACCATAGGGATCCTCTTAGTTAAAAATTCTTTTCAAGGACCTCACTCGTTAATTAATATAAACCACAAGGACCAAATTTGAATTTAACTCCTTAAATTATAAATAAAGAAAAAGGGAAATTTATTAAAATAATCCAGCTATTCAAATTGGTCTCCTAGTAATTCATTTCTCGGATTTACCCAAATGTCAGTGTGTCACTACGTTCGCAATATCGTGGACCTGACTAAAAGACAAAAAAAAACTATCAGATTCAAACCAGGTATGAGATATGCAATTGCGACGGTGTCACTTGCTGACCTAGTGGAATTTGATTTTTTTTGTCTTTTAGTCAGGTCCGCAATATTGCAGACGTAGTAACATTTAGGTAAATATTACGAATTGCAGATATGGATATTGCAGACATTATTTGATTTAATCCATTATTAAAGTACTATAAAATGTGTGAGGTCTATTGTTCATCAACCCAAAAAAAAATGTGTGATTGATTTTTTCGTTTTGTGCTTTAGAGTTCGGTTAAAAGAATTTTGTATTTTAATAGAGATTAATCTACAATTTAGCGTTGATTTGAAAAACTAACTAAAAAATCATTTTATAATGGATAATGTTATATGTATTTTTTTTATGTCACAATGAGATTAAATCATGTATTAAAAATGTAAAAAGTAAGTCTTGATTAAGAACATTAAAAACATAAACCATCTCCAACTGAACACTAAAAACATAAAAATGAAGATGTTTTCATCTCCAACCCAACACTAAAACATTAAAAAATAGAGGTAAAAGATGTTAGTCTCTATATTTAGAGGTCAATAAAGTAGACATCTGTAAATATATATTAATAGAATATTAAGTTTTTATAATTATGTTTGTGTATATATATATTGATTAAAAATTTAATATATTAAGATGTTTATTATTATTATTATAAGATTAAAAATAGTTTTTAGTTTTTTTTTAGTATGTAGTTAGAGTTGATTTTTTGAGGGTTTAATGGACTCATCATTTTTACTGTTTGTAGCGTTAGTTTTTCAATGGTTGGGTTGGAGATGTCTATGAAAACTTTCTATTTACAATTTAGAGGTTGTTTGGCAGTTGCTGAATGGTTTAGTGCAGAATGATTAAGTGGTCAGAATGATTAAGAGGCTTTCATGATATAGTGTAAAATGAAATATAATTGTTTACAATGAAATCAAGGCGCTTAATGGTTGAAGCTTAGAGGCTATTTGACAATTGCTGAATGGTTTGGTGCATAATGATTAAGTGGTCAGAATGATTAATAGACTCTCATGATATAATGCAAAATGAAATATAATTGTTTGGTAATTGTGTACAATGAAATTAGGGCTCTTAATGGTTAAGGGAGATTCAGGATAAAAAAATCATTTAGAGTGTTTTAGAACCATTAAGAAACAGATTTTTTTTTTTGTCAAACAAGATTCACTTCTTAACGATTTAGAGGTTGCCTCTTAATAGAACTATTAAGAGGTAAACAAACAACCCCTTAGAATACAAAATCATTAAAAGAGTTTTAGAACCATTAAAAGGTAAAAAAAAAATTTGCCAAACAAAATTCTCTTAATGAAACTATTAAAAAGAAAACAAACAACATCTTATACTTTATTTATCCTAAAACAAATATTTACAATAAAAAATATATAAATTTTAAAATACATAATTATTTATTTTTTAATTAATAAAACGATAATTTTACTTTTAATAATAAAAAAACTTAATGAATTTTGTATAATTGATAATAAAAATAAGTAAAAATAATCACAAATCTGAGTTGGTGGTTTGCACATGTTTAGAGGAGAGAATCGCGGTTGAATGCTTGTCGTTTTGCTCATCCCCATGCTCCCCTTTCTTCGATTCAAATGCCTCTATTTTATATATTTTTATATAAATTAAATAAATATTAAAAAAAACAGATATCATCGTTCACAATGTTTTGATATGAAAATAATCCTTCAACACTTTGATCAGAACAAAATCGTATCTTGCTCACTTTTAATGAATTGAATAATGATTGGAACTCTACATTTGCTTCAAGTAACTGTTAAATTATATTAGGTTATGTTATATCAGTATTTTATCCAACTTACCAGTTTACGAGTAAAAATATGCAACTGAAAACAAATAACTCGCAAATACCATCACCACTAACCATTGCTCATGCTCGTCTAGGTCTTCATGATCCTGCGCCTCATCTCGATCTTTTTACTCATCCGATGGCTCATGAAAGATTGGCTCCTCAACTTGGTGGTATCATACATCGAGCCACTCTATGTATGGCCAAAACAGGTTATGGGACCACCACTACCAAATTGGTGGGCTTTTCCGACAGCCAAATCCGTCGGAAAACAGAGTTTTCGGCGGATTTGACCGTCGAAAATGAGGCACCGGTGATTTTTTTTCCCAACAAAGATTCTTGATTTTGCGGCGGAAGATGGCCGTTGAAAATTAGCCATTTTTTTAGTTTATTTAAAAAAATCTTAATTAAATTAAAATTTTATTAATAAGATTAAAAAATTTTGAATTAAATTACCGGCGGAAGTTTTCGTCGAAAAGTTGTCGGTGATGTCTCCGCCAGAAATTTAATTTAATTTTTAAAATATTTAATTTTTAAATATTTTTGGAGGATTTATCCGCTAGTAATCCGCCGGAAAATCACCCAGCTCCAGTAAGTCGGTTTCCTGTAAATATTTAAAACTTGCAAAATCTGTATTTAAAACCTGTAAATCCTGTAAATATTTTAAAAAAATGTTAAATAGATAAAATGTCGTTAAATAGGGGTGCTCATGGGTTAGGTTGATCGGTTTGGAGGCATTTTAACAGCTCAACCCAATATTGGCGGTTTGAAAAATTTCAACTCAGCGCAACCCAACCCAAACAAAAGTTCAACCTAACCCAACCCAACTCGTTCGGGTTGATCGGGTTGTGTTTAAACAATGTAAAATCACATAAAAATAAAGGAACCTTTCTTTGAAATACGACCGACAATTCAAGATAATATGCAAGTTCATCAAATATTTAGGTATTATAATAAAAATGTTCAAACAAATGATAATACATCAATCAACAATAATAGTTTTAGACGTTTCCAACCCCGATGCTTTCGCTTTCTTGATCTTGAGGTTGGTCATGTCATTATTGTCATCTACAATTCAAAATTAAAGTTAACAATTTATTGGAAATAGATAAAATAATCCAAACAATGTTTAGTAATTACCTTCTTCCAAGAAATCATAAGATTGTGTTTTATCCAAACACTCCTTTGTTTGAATTCCTTCGTGACTTACTTTCAACCAACTTTGGGTGCACACTAATGCCTCGAGCATTTTTGGACTCAATGAACTCCTAAATGAGTCCAAAATACGTCCACTAGTACTAAATGCGGATTCGATAGCAACCGTAGACACGAGGATGACAAGAACATCCTTTGCAATCATAGATAAAATAGCATACCTACTAGCATTTGCTTTCCACCATAGTAAAATATCAAATTCGGTAGTTGTTGGATCGAGAGATTCTTCAACCAAATATCTTTGAAGATCATTCATTTTCTCCGGCACTTGCAATTGTTGTTTTGCATATAACTTTCCAATAATGACCTCTTATGAGTTTCATTGCTCTTTAATAAGTCATTTTTGGCAACTTATACATATTAAAGATAAAAACAACAAGTAAACAACAACTCAAACAAACATGAACATGTTAAAATGCATAATAAAATAAAACAAATTACACATATCACTAACCTTTGATTCACCTCCTCCAAACTCAACATTGTAAACTTCAAATAACTCGTTAAGGATTTCTTCCACCTTCACAGTAATCTTGGCAACAATTTGACTATCATAAAGGCACCAAAAAGAAACTTCAAATCAGTTTACTGTTCAAGTTATCAAAACTGATTCAGTTTCTTAAGCGAGCTGCGCTAGCCTATTACGTTTTTCAGATTGACAGCATGTTGAGCTGGCCACAACCCACTATTACCTGATGATCGCTACCTTGGATCGAGTATAACAGACAAAAGCAACATCTGATTGATGTTATCTGTATGCCCCCAAAATTTCTTTTAACACCCTAAAAGTTTATGATTCGTAAAATAAATAAATGTTAAGGGTTAAAATTTAAAGAGTAAACGATATACATGATTAAAGTGTCGATACTCAAAAAATATGATTTTATTGCAATAAATAAAATCAATAAAAAAGGAAATGAAACATTTTGTATTTAATTGATTTGKGATSAAAATGCAGAAAGAAAAACAAAAGGGACTAGTTCTGTCAAAAGTAGAAAAYTAATTTGGAAATGATTGAGATTTGGGAAATCATTTCCCCAAATCACGTTTTTCCTATTCTAGAGATGGTTTGACGCCCTATAAATTGAAATTTTCGGTTGAATCTTTGTGGAGACGTTCCTAAGGGTGTAAGTGAGTAAACGTTTTTAGAATTTCGAGATTTCATCAAGAAACGAGAGAGATATCGAGTTTGAAGCGGCATAGAGTCATTCCGCACAAAAACGACGATTGGAGGTAAAATACTCAACCAAAATTGATGTATAATATATGGTTGGTTTTGTTTTTCAATTATCTTTTTGTTGGTATAAGTCTCGTGGCTATAGTGGCTTGTACGTCGAGCGGTTTAGGCTAGAAGTTGCTGTGGCGGCGGCTCAACGAGATTTGGGTACAAAAACTCAAAATACGAGTTTAATATTGAACCGTAGGGGCTGTAAATTTGGATATGAGTTGGGATTATTATTATATATAAGATTTTGTAAAAATGATAGCCGCGATAGCGGCACCAAGGGTGCGACCGGGTTGGGCCGGGCGTCGAGTTGAGCCGGCTGATGGTAGACCTGGTTTAAGCCATGGCCGACTTGTTTCGGTCGAGTTCGGTTAGACTCGAGTTGTTTTGATAAAATCGGTATTTGTTAAAAAGAGATTTGAGACTCATTTATTTATTTCGATTAATCGAAATAAATCGGGATGTTTTGATTAAGTTGGTTAAGAATTGGACATCAATTGTAAAAGTTATTAATTAATTGGATTTTCATATTTAAATTATAAGAAATAATTTAATCACTTAATGCGGGAGTTGTGACTAGATAATTGTGGGATCAAACGTTTTTATAACGAGGATAGTATATAATTAAATGTTGGCTTTAATACTTCGTAATTTATTTTGGATGTGAAAAATTCCATTGGGGAGGGGGGTATATGGCGACGAGGTATGCTTGGGGTTGACCCGTTGACCATGCCCACCCTAAGGTTGACCCATTTGACTTTCGAGTTGATTTTTTGGGGAAAAGTCAATACTCTAATTATTGAAATATAATTACATGTTATAGGATATTACTCAGGGACAAGGTTTAGCTAAGTAGAGCTATTCAGGTGAATCTACATGAGACTTTAACTGAGATGCATGCTTACGTATAAATTACTTGAGCATTACGTTATTTTTGTATGTACATGTTTATGGGTTTATTACATGTATATGAATTATTATTGTGGGTTGCATGCTATTTGTTTACGTGTTTTTAAACATTAATTAGCATGTTATTAACGAGTTAATATTTTTGTCGGGTATGGGAAGGGGTCAAAAGTCATAAGGGATGACACATCCAAGGGATGAGTTACCGGACAAAGGATAGCCGTGTAACCTGGGGAAGTGCTGATGACGGTAAGACCTTAACCTGACGAAAAATTAAGAGATCTCATTATTATTTCAAAAGGGTTTGAAACAAATGTGCATATTATTGTATTCGGGGGTATTGTTTGTTTTATGCATGATGAGATATGTATGATTGTGCACAAAAACCATGAACTCACTGAACTTTATAAAGCTGACTATTAGTATGCATCTCAGGAGCTGGAAGTTCAAGAACGGACAAGACAAATGTTCTACATAGGAAATAGAACTATTATTCAAGTTATGATTTATAAAATCTTTAGTATTTTAATTGGATTTACATGTAACGTAACCTAGTATAGGACGGGTTAGTTTTGAGATATTGATTACAATTAAATTATTGTAAGACTTCCGCTGTAATAAGACTTTATTAGCCGTTATATTTTGGGGTTATTTATTGTTATTTAATGAGAATGATGTGACACAACTCATGATGAAAATGAGGGTGTTACATTTCTCAAACTTTGTCTTCATCTTCTTGGCCATGGTATACAATATAGAATCATTACTTTCACACAAAGAATTCAAGTGTGTATGGATCTCACAAATCTCATGATAGACGTTGTTTGAAGTTACATGCAAAGTGGCACTAAATTTTAAAGTAACTTCATAAAAAGTGGAGAGGAATTTAACAAAAGGCGAAACACACTTCCAATCAATACTCTTAGGTGGTCCAACTCTCTTTTTCTCATTCTCATTATTTAGAAAGTGACTCAAGTACTTATGGTTTTCGTCCTCATAACTTGCAAAAGCTTTTTCAAATTTAAGTGCCACGTCTAACATCATAAAAGTTGAGTTCCATCTTGTAGGCACGTCTAAGACCAAGCCACCCTTGTAAGTAATCTTTTCCCTTTCAACACAAACATTGAACTTTTGTAACTTTGAAGAAGATGACCGGATGTATCTTACACTATTACGAATGGCATCGATTGAATCACACAACTCCTTCAAACCATCACCCACAATTAAATTTAGTATGTGAGCACCACATCTGAAAAGGATGAACTTACCATCAAGAACCGAGACTTTCCATGCATTAATCCTTTTCTTTACATAACCAACAACCACATCATTGGCAGATGCATTATCAACGGTCACACTAATACATATTTTGATTAGTTGTCAAAAATAAAATTAATATATTACCCTTTTAGCTTATTTAAGAGATACCATTAAATATCTCAAACGAGTGGTTCATATCAGATCTCACAGTTACCACAAACTAAGCAGTTCTCCCTTGAATGGGCCCCTACACACACACACACACACATATATATATATATATATAGATGACTTTATTTATTAACCCAATATATGGTGTTAACTTTGTGAACCAATCCTATCTATTGATCTTTGAAATTTTTGGCTGAGACCATTCATGACATAAAATGTAAATAATTGCACATAAAGACAAGGTAACATAAGTGAACAATGTTTACAAGGGCTATTCTGGGAAAAGATTTTAGTTGTCTATTAATGACAATGAGATGTTTTGTAAACTTTCCGTTAATGAAATGAGATGTTTTGTAATTGTCCATTAATAACAATTTAACTATCCGGTAATTACTCTCGTCATTGAATCGAAATCAACAGCAAGATCCCTGATATCAAATTCTTCTACAACTCTTTTTGCTTAATGGTTCATGTGTGAACAAGTATTCGATATTTATGGGAATTGTTTATGTGTGAACATGGGTGCATATGGAAAAAAGTCGTAAAGATTTTTATAACATCCATGTTTTATTTTATTAAACACATACGCTATGGTCTCGCTCATATATGAAATAAATGTCGAATGATACATGGTTCACCTATGAACAAACATCAAATTGTGCTTATGAACAATACTCACGTGTTTACTTCTGAACACTATTCAATTTTTTTAAATAATTGGTATTTTGTAGATACCTAGTTTTTGTTACGTGTATGTGGTTATCAAGTTCTCATATGAACACAATACATGTTTAAATGTTGAAAACGAGATAATTCACCTATGAACAAGTGTTTACTCAGGTATAATTAAGAAAAGTAATCGACAATTAATTTACTTGGAAAACATAAGAAATGTAACCGACAATTAATTTGCATGAGATATTCACAATGACAAGAAATGAAATAATTAAGAAATGTAACCGAAAATTAATTTGCATTAAAAGAAATATCAAATAAAAATTACATTTTTGCCCTCATTAAATAAATTTATCATGTGCATCAACAAAAATTGTATCTTGTTTTCTATTGAATCATTGAGGTTTGTAAAGTTAACATCTTTTAATTGATTAACAAAGGATCTTAAAAAAAGGATGTATAATACCCACTTTGTTTCGATCCTTTAAAAAAAAGGATCTTAAAAAAAGGGTGTATAATACCTCTCTTCAATTCCAATTTTTTTTAACAAAGGATCTTACATATGTACGTATGTATGTATGTACGTATGCACGTATGTATGTATGCACGCATATACGTATGCATGCATGTATGTAGGCATGCATGCATGTTGTATGTATGTATGTACATATACACACATACACTTAAATTTTAATTTAAAGGACAACGTTTGCTCAACAATTAATGGTAACCTAACACTAGATAGATAGTTAATTGTTTTATAGTGAAAAGAAAATAAAAAAAATAATGGAATTGAAGAGAGGAATCAGGAGAAGGAAGAAGATGGCGATGGAAGTTATCTAAGGCTCAACTTGCTTTCTTTTCATTTCTTCGACAAATTAAGATAAGTTCTTTATGTTTTAGTTTGACTTCTTGAAATATTTGATGTTTAGGTTAGTATTGGATTTTTAGGGCTCAAAATCGAGTTTTAGCGGCTGTCATGAGGACAACCATGTATATTTATAATTTCTGTGAGAAACCCGATTTTATGATATATATATTTTTATCCCCAATTGAGTCCCATTGTGTTATATCTTCACTCTGATGCATTAAAACCTAAAATTCTTCAAGGATCAAAACAAAGTGGGTATTATACATCCTGTTAGTAGAAGTAATTTGTTGGGTAAGTTTATTTCATGTTTAGGATAGTTTTGAATTCATTTAAGATGTTCAATCATGAGTTGAAGTTGAAAAATTGTTATCTTTGACAATCTTTAAAAGTCAAAGTTTAGTGATGAACTTTAAGACATTGAAATCTTCATGAAAATGTTAAGATGTTTGTTATGGTTTGCTTCTTGGTATCATTAAGATGTTATTACATGGAATGAAGAAGAAAATTTCCACTCAATCATGTTTTGATGGTAGATTAAAGGTTATGTTCAAAACAGTTGACTTTTTCCAAAAAGTCAAAATGTTTTGCCTAAAATTTAGAATTGATTCGTTATATGAAAAATTATGGATTGAAATTCGGTGGATATAGTTATGATATGTATATAAAGGTGTTACAATGGTTATTACAGTGTTTCTTATAGGTTTTGATGGATTTCCAAAATTAAAAGAATGTTTGAGTTCGGTTTAATCAAATTCGGTTTCTTATAGGCATTAGTTAGGTTCTAAGTGCACAAATGAATGTGTGAACCTTATAAACATATTTTAATTTGTATGATAAACATGTTTTGGGGTTTAGATTGTGAGCCAAGCGCCTCGGAAGAAATAAGAGCAAGTCACCGGATTAAGTTAGTTTGATGCTGGAAATTGTAAAAATTGTATAAAATCACTCGTAATTCGGATTTAGATGTGTAATACCAATATGAAACCGTTGAGAAGGCTTCTACAATTGATATTTGATTATGAGGTAGTTCAGGATCTAAATAGGTAGCACGACGGATAAGCAAGTTGGGCACCGACGGGATCTCAGCGAAGTAGGCTAAGGTGAATTTCAAGTAGATTTTAATGGGGTGCACGTCAAACGTATTTACTTTTACATGATTTATCTTTGTTGGACGTATTTTGGTGATTAAAGTGGAAAACATGATTTTAAATGATGTTATGAAAGGAAGGTATTGATGTTTAAAAAAAGTTATTTTATACATATAAAGTATGCCTTTGGTAACTTGGAAATTCACTGCCAGATCGTCAAGTGGAGTTCCTTATAGAACTCATTCAAGATGCAGCGTCGATAGCTCATTCTCCATATCGGCTAGCTCCTTCAGAAATGAAGGAGATGATGACTTAATTGCAGGAATTGCTCGACAAAGGTTTCATCCGACCTAGTTCTTCATCGTGGGGTGCTCCAGTATTGTTTATAAAGAAGAAAGATGACACATTACAAATGTGCATCGACTACCGCAAGCTGAACAAAGTGACTATAAAGAATAAATATGCTCTTCCTCGTATTGATGATTTGTTTGATCAACTCCAAGGTGCTAGTGGTTTCTCCAATATTGATCTTCAATCAGGTTACCATCAATTGAAAGTGCGACAAGAAGATGTTGTCAAAACTGCATTCAGGACCAGGTATGGGCATTATGAATTCTTGGTTATGCCATTTGGTTTGACGAATGTTATAGCTGTTTTTATGGATTTGATGAACCAAGTCCGTCATCCTTCCTTAGACAAATTGGTTATAGTATTCATAGATGATATCCCCATTCTTCTTTGCTTATTCTTCAGCTTTCTTACTCGCGGCACTCAAATTGTCATTATATAGCTTCGCTGCCTTTCTCTCCCATGTCTCTTGAATTTGGGCATCCATAGCCGGATCCCAAGTGTAGTAGCATTGTACATAAAAGTTTAGTCGATTCTTATGTTAAAAAAATAGCAAAAATATAACAAGTTAAATATATATACTACGAACCTAGAACCGCTCCTATATTCGGCGCCTCACATCCCTAGGGATTTTTTCCCACGTGATATGTGGCCCGTGAAGCAGCTCTAAGTTTATCTTGGTGATCCGACGGATGACTCTGGTGTCACTAAAGCTATACATACATACATACATACATACATACATACATACATATAGCTAAGAATTCACAACCAAAAATCTCAATAAAAAAATTCACTGACTTTTTATTATTTTATCCCCTCTTGTAGGTTCTTAATTTTTCACCAACTTAAAATTTCTTCAAACGTTTTATGAACTTATAACAACCATCACTATTATATATCATTTGAATACTTTCAATTGACGAGCTAATTTTGAATTCGTGGCTCTATCCTTGTCCGCAATACATAAATATAATGTATTCCGATTCGATTGCTATTGTTATTTTTGTTCTAAAGGTTTTGACTAAAATAAAGAATAAAATTTATGAAAACAAAAGCTATTATAAAAGTTAATAAAAACATAAACCTTAATTGACTTGCTCCAAAATCTCACCATAAGATGGCATCAGTGTGGGGGTATCGGGGATCTTAATCCCCATTTTGGCTTTTCAATCCCGATTCCTGTCCTCGTCCTTGTCGACGAATAAAATTTCATCTCCATCCGATTGAGAATTTTTCCCCATGTATACAATTTAAGGTTCTTACGTAATATTTTTTAAATATCATGTACATAAATGCCATTTTACATTCAAACAACATATACTGCTAAAATATCTATTACTTCATAAAGTAGAACATTTTTATTATTCCTTCATGACCATCAAAAAAGTCATAAACTGCTTCTTCATGTAGCCAAAATAGTGCCCTATAAAAATAAATTGTTTGTTTAGAAATTTAATCTGAGAAAGATGTGCAATCGTTGCATCGTTTAGCTGATATTTATGTACCGTGTTAAGGTTTTTTTATCTGAAAGTTTAAGCAAGCAATTTTGTTGGTTTCCATGATGATGATGCCACGTTTTCCACTTGGAAGACTTCGGTCTCTACCAGGAACTGAGCTTCATGAGTTTGTGGAGGAAGTATAATTTGAAAAGTTATATACAAGGGTGTAAATTAGCCACTGTGATTGTGTTAATATATATACACATATTTACATACATAAAATTATATATACATACCGGCAGCGGCAGGAGGACGGCGGCAGTAGGGGTAGGAGGTCGGCGGTAGAGTTGATTTGAGATATGGGGGTGGTGTGCGGCTGAAAAATGGGGGTAGATTTGAGAAATGGTGTGTAAATAGCGGCTGTGGATCTGAGGAAGAATGTAGAGTTTTATTTTTAACATTACTAGCAGATTATCAGCGGATATATCCGTCAGAAACTTTTCAAAAATTTAAAGAAAACCGTTTTTTCATGAAAATTTTGAAAATTTCATTTTTCGACGGAAAATTCCACTGGTTATTTATTTATTTGTTATTGTACTTTGTTATTGTTACCACCATCACCGTCACTATCACCATCACTATCACCATCATTATTGCTATTACTTTTATTATTATTATTTTATCATAATTATTACTCCTATTATTATTATTGTTATTATTATTATTATTGTTACTAAAGTTCAACTAACATTTACTAGAGCCCACTAGATCCACTAAAACTCAATAGATACATTAAAGCCCAATATATTAAATAAAGTCTAATAGATTCATAACAACCCAATACTACTAAATAAAGTCCAATAGATCCAATAAAAACTCAAAAAGAACTATTAAAACCCAATAGAACCGTTAAAACCCAATTAGCATCCATTAAGGCCTAATACAACCAATTAAAGCCCAATTCGTGTTTGCGAGAAGACATGTATTGCATATGAGCATGTGATATGTATTGGGCTCAACTAAGACCCATTAAAACCAAATATTTTTTTTATAGTTATTAAAGTTCAATAATAACAATGACATCGGATTATGTGTTTGTATACAAGTATGTATTGCATACATGTATGTGTGTGTATTGGATTCGATAAGAGAATTATTATATACTATATACACCATGTAGAATATATATATAATATTTTACATATATATAAAATTAAAGTATGAAAAACAAAAAACAATCATTTTTCAAATATCCGCCGAAAATTCGCCGAAAAATAGACGCTGGAAATCCGCCGGAAAACAATTTTCTTTTAAAAAACTCGAAGAATTTATTATTTTAAATTACCCGCGGCCACCGGCAACTACCGGTAACCCGCTAGTAATTTAAAATAATAAATTTTAATCTTTAATTATTTTCCAGTGGATTATCGGCGGACGTTAATCTTAAAAAACCAATCAAGAATCCACCGGAAATCCACCGGTAATTATTGTAATTAGAGTTAATAATTTCCCAAATATTTAATTTGTATAATCCGACGAAAATAATGTCGGGATACAAATTATTTTTTCCCAAATAATTAGTGGTGTATTTCTGGCGGAAGTCAACTAAAGTCGACTTTTTTGATGTCCGCCGGAAATTCGCCTCTAATTTTTCCGGCGGATTTTATCGTCAGAAATTTCTCCAAAAATAGTCGCTTTTCTAGTAGTGCACACGTACTATATTATAGGCACCTTCGTCAACCCACATAAGCTATCTGGAGATATACTACTGAAACGCCCCAAAACTGGTGAGAGAGCATAACGAGGGAGGAGATAAATCATAGCGGATAGTATTACAAAGTTTAAAAATAAGAAGATCACCCAACAAAGGG